TGTGTTCCTGATAACAATGATGCTATGGAATCAATGATAATTGCGTGTTCACTCCCAGTCAATTATCAGTACTGGGTGAATCGTCAGCAATTATTGCCAACGAATCTGATATGCTGATGATACTATGTTCCAACTGAAGAGTTGCGCTGATGCCTGCGACTAGCAGCATGGAACAGATGGAACCCGTTATCCGTAGTGAGCATGGGATGGAAGTTGAATGCAGATTTCCACAGAGGATCGATATCTGAAAGCACTGCTCGTCAGTACTGTTCTTGCGCCCAACTTTAGCGCACTTGATGCGCTCAAGCTGGCGTGCTCACGAGGTCCCTGCTGGCTACAGAGCATGGTCCTGATGGGCTTCCATATGCTGAAGTGAAACGATAATATTCGAGACTGTTACTCATATACATATGCATACCCCAGGACTGTGCAACTAGAAAATTCCCGGCCAGATGTTTGAACAGGTCGCGGAAACCGCGCTGTTCGACTTCACGGGACGGGAGGGAATCGGTGAGTGATTATCTACAGAACACGGCAGTGTCAACTCAGTTCGGAAGTTTCCTCACTCATTATAGAGGCTTATATACAAATTGGGGTAGAAATGTACAGAAACCAATGAGAATTTCCCGAAATTTCTTCGAAAATTTCAAATCTTCGGCCACACATACAGTTGATCGTGTGCATATTTTCCCACAATTTCAATATATATGATTTCTATATATATACATATATATATTATAATATTGAAGTATAATTTATACTTTAATATTATCCACTTTAGTGGTGATGTTCGCTTTCCTCAACCGAGTTCAGCAGTTTCTAGTAGCTTTAGTAAAGCTAATCACAGAATTTTACATACGAATTAGGGTAGGCCTCACAAAAACCGAGAAGAATTTCCCAGAAATTTTCCCAAATTCCATATCGTCACCAGCACATGTAGTTGACCATGTGCATATCTTACTACACTGCTATCTAGTCAGTTCATAGTAACCTCTGCTTCGCATGAGCGCTTCGGATGAACTAGATAATGGAGGAGATAAGGAACAAGACCTCTCAGATGTGAGCTGATGAGCAGGGTCAAAATCACACATAGCAGACACGCGCATACAGGGAATCATCCAGAAACCTATAATGTTCCCGGGAGGAACTTATTCTGAATTTTCCGCATATGGCTAGGATCCCATTCTGCAATCAGTTTCCCATGTAAATGTCATCACACTTTTCTCATTGTTAGTAGACTCTGGGGAACGTTATTTTTGAGAACTAGATGGGTCCCTGCGTGCACAAGCCTTCTCAATACTTCGTGATAAAGATCATACGTTGCCACAAGTTCTTCAAGCTCACGTTCTATCACAGCTATCCGATAGCTGTACGGTCGCTGGCAGATACCATTACTGTTCGTCATCATGACATGCGGTATGGTAATTTTCTTCGCAGTAGATTGGACGCATATGTGAGATGGACGAGTTGAGGAGTTGATCATTTCTCACTAGGTATCATCGCTTCACATTTTTGATCTCGTATTGCTCGTGGTTCTGCCTCCCGAAGGCCCTTTTTCCTCGTCTCCATCAGCGCCTAGCTCGAATGGCTATTCACCACGAGAAGTGCCTCACAGATGGTAAGACACTCTTAATGCTCTCTCTGACGCTAAACGTAGACAGCAACAAATCTTTGAAGATAAATATCACTACGTAACTCATATAGTTATATAAAAAACACTGGGTAAAACATCGTATCACAAAACACGCCATCTTTCTCGAGAGATGATGTTTCTGAAATTTCCCCGCATTCACAAGCTTTTATATAAATTCTGAGAAGCCAGTGTTGGAATATATCGCGAAGTGTCGTTGATGCCTTGTCGGCATTTCACTAACGCGAGACCCCCTGCAACGATAGTAATCCTTATGAAGAAGGATCTGAATACTACGATGCCGCAGTGACTGCAGCACAGAGATTCATATGTTCCGACGCGTAACCAAGACTAGCTGAATCATGAACTTTGTGACCGCATTCCAATATTCGTCTCCCCTGGTAGCACAACGTGAGGATCGTAATTTCTCTGTTCAGCCTAACAGTATTGGGAACTTCTCGACACGTGGAAGCCCTGATGCAGTGCAATTCATACTACCAGGTAACGAGCCTTACATCACACAAGTCAAGTCGTCAACAGATGATCTATTTGATGAACTACCTGAGACAATGAAAGCCAAAAGTGAGAGAAATCCACACCTTCTCGCGCTCCAATAATGGAATAGGCACTCTGCAACTAGCCGCGATGTCGTCTGACGGTTTCAAACGAGTCTCGGCGGTAGCTGACAAAGATAACCGATTCAGGTAGGGGGGCTTCACGCACGGTTCCGTCGACAGAACTATAGTTCCTAATTTATCCCACTAGCCCTCATCGGAATAATTATTTCAACATAGGGAAGTCTGAGATGATAGAGATTATATCATCTCAGACATTAGCTTTATCATAGAGCTCGTCAAAGCCTGGTGCTGTTGAGGATTATAACCCGGCCTGGTTTTGCACAACGCCATATTGCACAGTGTGCAATGCACACAACGTCTCGTTCGTTACGCCAAGTTGTTGACCACAACGAGTGAGACACTGAATGTTTTTTCCATGAACGATTCACCAATCGCAACATAACAATCCATTATCGATCGGAAACCGCCGGAAGGGCTATCACATGGAGGACGATACCAATCGGAATACGGCGTTTCTTAGGTTGATCGTCGAGCGAAACCCCTTTGTTAAGGATCTGCTCAAGAAAGTTAGAAGAGAGATACTACAGCTCAGAATGCAACAAAATAGGTTAATGAAAAAGATTCATCACTTAGAGATGAACACTTTAGGCAGCGAGCAGTGGTCGAATCACGGGTCAACCGAGAGGCACTGAAGACTGAGCAAGAGGATGCAGAATCGTTACCAGACAAGTGAGCCACTGACAAGTGTGCGAGTCAAAATCAGTGTATGCTTAACATAAGCTAGAGAACTGTGAGAGGATACGCTCCTCCTTGTTACCAATCATAAGGCTTATCATAAATAACC